CTAGCTCCGGTTTCCAGTCATAAAATGATATAATAAAGTGCATAAACTAGGGTTTCCATTTATAAACTGTTATAATAAAGTGCGTAAACTAGGGTTTCCATTCACAAACTGATATAATAAAGTGCGTAAACTAGGGTTTCCATTTATAAACTGATATAAAGTGCGTAAACTAGGGTTTCCATTCACAAACTGATATAATAAAGTGCGTATACTAGGGTTTCCATTTATAAACTGATATAATAAAGTGCGTATTGCGTTAACTAGGGTTTCCAGTCTCGTTCATTAAACAAGGTTTAATGTTCTCAAATCCTTTGTACGAATTAATTAATCATAATCACAATCACATTCACTAATCATCAGTCTGGTCTGAACTTGGAGACGAGCAGGGTTAGATGGAAGTTGTTTTTTACTGAAACTAATTCACACTTCACTGTCCAAATATTGAAATTTTCCATATATGGCATGCAACAAATATTACTTAATTTCGTTTTCTTGCACAATACTGTTGTACAAAAATTTCAATTTTTCGTATTCATGGGCATTGCAAAAATGACTTGTATTCATGTGCAATATCATTAAAAAAAATTTACTGAAATTTCGTATTTATGCGAAATTTCGTGCAAAACTGGTTTCGTAATGATACGAAAATAATGCGGAATTTCGTGCAAAATAATAATTTCTTGTAAAACCACAAAACTGTTGCGCAAGAGAATTGATTGTTTCGTGGAAACCCTAATTAGGATTGGTGACAACAGTTATTTTAATCCAGAACCATGTTTTTCTTCATTATACTTTACAAACCACTGAAAATATGATCTGGAGGGAATTAATTCTAGCGTACCTTCCCCTTTAAAAAAGAATAATATTTTGGGTCTATTTTTCTTCATTTTACTGTAAACCCAACAGATGTTTATCATTGTTTTGCAAGTTTCCGTCCTGATCAACTAGGATCATTTTTCGCCAATTTTTCAAACCACTTTAAGAACAGATGCTCTTCAGCTTTATTTAAAACCTATTTCAAAATCAGTTCACTCTTATAAATTTCATTTCCAAAAAAAATTTGGGGTAATTTTGTATGAAACCTAATTTTCTTGCCCATGTTTCTTCTAGAAGCTGATTTCACACATTTTAATCTCGACTTTGTTAAACCTACGTAATATTATTCAGAACTGCACTGAAGGGAAAATGTATTCTTGTGAAGACAGGATTCTCAAATCTGTGTATTCATATGTAGTAGTAAAATAGTAACTTTGTTTGTCCAATCATTATAAATCTTGAAACCTGTGACAGATTTCCCCAACATTTTGATTGGGGAACTCAGTAGAACCAATTATATGATCTAAGCTTAGGTGGGGGGGGTCCAAAAATCGTATACTAGGAAATTACCAATATGTGAAATTTGAGTTGAAATTATTTTCATAGTTTAAAAAAATTGTCTTAACAAGACGTGATACATAAATTAAAATTATTTTACGTTTTAATGAATTGTCTTAAAAAGATGCTACTTTGATTTAAAATATTACGAGATTTTTAATGTCCTAACCTTAAATTAAATTAAATTAAATTAAAAATATTTTGAGATTTTAAAAGAATTGACCTAAATATATTAGTTTTGTTGGTTTAGTTAAAGATGTGGATGGAACGATTGAATACCAAACTAAAATTGTGAAATTCTCTTCAGTTCATCATTTATCTCTTCATTTTCCGACCAATTTCGGAGATGATTCAACTAAGGTAAGAGCTTTGTACAAGAAGTAAGCCACAGAGTAGATAATATTATAAAGATGCTTAGTATCCGGATCTGTTGGATGGATCCAAAATATCAACAAAAATTAGCTTTAAAAAATCTTTTGCTCTTTAACCCCAAATCTGAACTGTTGTAAAAAAGGAAGATTATCAAAAAATTCCTTAACCCTTAAAGATTTTATCAAGTTTTACCATATAAATAAGCGAATAAAGGGAAAAATTATTTCAAAACTCTTCTGATCAAAATTGAGCAAATCTTAAAGAATTGTTCATGACCAATGTGGATCCGGATCCGCAACAAAATAAATAGATACTAAGCACGGTGAAGAGTTAAGAAAGTTAAGGGGTGGATACGTTTTCAGAATTAGTTTTTTTTAAATTATTAAATAACGACGACATAAAATGTAAAAAAAGTACTACAATAAACTACAGACGCCATGTATAGGAGCATAAAAATTAATCTTTTGATCGAAAATAAGTAATCTTGTTCAATTATTAGTTTCTATTTTCTCATTATTCTGGTTTCTCATTATTCACAAAGATTTTTTGCGGATTTTCTAGAATTATTATTGAAAAGACGACATTTGAAGAATTGAAAGAAATCTGCGAATAAATTCAAAGAAGATAAGAAATTCAATATAATAATAAGAACGAAATAATCGATTTTAGCATTGATTTATTGGCAAAAGTCTTTTGAGAAATATGTTCCTAACCATTTAATTAGATTACTGTATAATTTTTACTTTATTTTTCGTTGTCGTTATTTAATAATAAAAAAAAGTATTTCTGAAAACGTATCCACCCCGAAAGTAGGAGTTTTGAACGTCGAATTTGCGCTCAAACTCGGGATTTACAGATCTTTCAAAAGTTTAATATGTCTCAAATGAATCCGAAAGAAGTTTTCCACAACACTGCAAACTCAGTTAAACTAACTTACTTACATAGCCGGTCACTCCCTTTAATTAAAAAATAAAAATTCATTCTAATATAATTTTTGTTCTTTTTCCTTTAAGGATAAACTTGAGAAAATTAATTAAAATATAAATTTTCTCTTTAAGAAACTAAGCCTATCTATGACTGAGACATCCCAAACTCAAAACCGCAATTTTAGATTTACTACATCGGATTAAGTGGAGAATGGACTAAAGCGGATAGAGTTGGGGTTGTCAATTGTGTTTACGAGTCCAGACCTATGATGGAGGATCATAAACAGGATTTACAGGTTAGCGTTCATAAATATAGCAGATAATTGTTAAACTGATAGCTGGTGGATTAAAATTGTTGAAAGTAAGATACTTCTGAACAGGACCTAGAGGTTTCCTTTGTCATAGTGTCATAGTATGACTCCAAGTGTCTGGCTAATTAATAATATTCAAGAATGATATCTCTGAACAAGACGGAGCAGTATCCTCTGTCAGTGGCGGAGATGGCTCCGACTTCTGAACAAATCTTGTAATATATAAAAGGCTAGTCGGATGCATTCAACTGAACTAAGGGTTGTAGCCGCAATTATCTTGATGTTTATTCTTAAAAGGGAATTAAAATTTAAAGTGACTCTATGCAAAGATGACAATGCCCGATTCACAACGATACCCTTGAAGGCTGTCTGATAAATTATGAATTAGATGTCCATGTTTTTTTTTCATTTGGCTTTTCTCTGTAAAAGTGATTGCGCTCTTGCTCATGAGTTTTGCAATGGAGAAATTACTTCTCCGATTCAGGAAAACGACGGTATCTTCCTCATTTTGGATCTAATTAAGGTTTCACGGGTACCGTTGTAAATTTTACATTGCCATCTTTGAAATCTAGCTTACATTCCCTGTAATAATGAAATAGACCTGGGGGATTTGGCGGGTCAAGAAATCCACTTATTAACAATGTCATGCATGGTTGATTATTTTAATACACTTCTTATTCTTTAGTTTAGCATAGTCATCTTAAGGATTTAGGAAGTAGGAAGTTTTGTGCATCTGAGCTAAAATTCCTACTTTCAGGATGGTGGAGTAGCATCTATGAACGGAGCAGGTGGTTCAGCGTTCTAAATCTGAATTCCATATCATATCATATCATGGACCCATTTGGACTTACATCGAAAGTCTGAAGGAATATGATGACTTCAATGAGATGGTTTTGGAACGTAGACGAAGAAATTGGAAACTGGTTCTGTGGAATCATAGAAGCTACTGAATCAAAAACCTATGATCAACCCTGTGATAAATCTGTTCTATCAATTTGTAACTCGCTAATCCTGATTAATATAATTAATTACTTTTCAGATTATATTGATTTCAAAGGTTTCTGTTCATCAATACATTAGGTTTCTGCAACTAACAAAATACGGAATAGATCATATATTATTTTCTGAAGAAAAAAAATATTTATTTTTATATCTTTTCAATTTATTGTGTGAGCTTATAAACTTTTATGGCTTCCCTATCAAATAAATTTCAGTGTCAATTGTCAATGTTTGTAATATTAACTTATATACATGCGATCATATCAGTATAATGAAAAGAGAGTTACAAAAATAGCAAAATCAATCTGCTTTGTTCAGATCTTTTACGTTGCAGAATTTTTACAATTTTAAGATAAAGCCGTTCTGCCCCCCCCCCTTTGAGCTTTTTGTTCTTGATAATTGTTTGTTGCGTTAGTTCCTTAGTTGTAGACATGTCTTTAGTTAAACTCCGTCTACTCAAACCGTCCTTTCTACTCACAGGGTCCAGATATCCAGTCAATACACCCAGGTATGCAAAATTAAAGTTATTTTAAAAAATTTGGTTCTTATTTATCTGCACCGATCTATTATTCGACTACTTTCTTGGTTTAAAGAATTAAATAATCTATTTTTCCTTAAGTTATGTACGTTTGGGTGGGTGGAGGGCCACATTTTCTTTTAGGGTTTAATTCGCTGAAGTGGGGAAAATTTACGAGTTTTTTTGGGGGAAAAGTAACATAAATAATAAAAAACTAGCTTTACCCACCCGGAAAGGGAGGGGGGTACAATTTTTCAAAATTTTCACCCTTGAAAAAACTTGTATGAGGCAAAGATAAGCTACAAGAAAGCCAGTGTTATTTGATAATAGATTGCGGTTGCTTAGTCAGTTCTCTTCTCTTACAAGCTCTACAATACAGACCAAGTAAGTTAAATATCTATTCTGTAGTTAAAACAAAGTAAGCATAATATGCAACTTTTGATAAAAAATTTTCTTTCTGTCTCATTTGTACTCATCCTTATCATCCTTCTCCTCCTGTACTCAGCTTTCTCATCCATCTCACCTTGTACTCATCCTTCTTATCCATTTCTTACTGTACTCATCCATCTCACCCTTTTCTCATCCTTCTCCCCCTGTACTCATCCTTCTTATCCATATCCTCTTTTATTCATCCTTCTCATCCATTTCACTCTGTACTCATCCTTCTTATCCATCTCCCCCTGTACTCATTCTTCTCATTTATCTCCACCTGTATCTACCTTCTCATCCATCTCCCCCGACTTATCCTTCTCATCATGTACTCTTCCTTTTGGATCCATCTCCGCCTATACTTATCCTTCTCATCATGTACTCTACCTTCTCATCCATCTCCGCCTATACTTATCCTTCTTATCATGTACTCTACCTTCTCATCCATCTCCGCCTATACTTATCCTTCTTATCATGTACTCTTCCTTTTGGATCCATCTCCGCCTATACTTATCCTTCTCATCAATCTCCCTCTGTACTCATCTATCTTCCCCTGTACTCATCCTTCTCATCCAATTCCGCCTGTACCATACTTATCATCCATCTTCCCCTGCACTCATCCTTCTCATCCATCTCCCCCTATACTCATCCTTCTCGTCCTTCTCACCCTCTACTCTTCCTTCTTGTCCTTTACTTAACCTTATGATCCATCTTAACCTGTACTCATCCTTCTCGTCCATCTCACACTGTACTCATACTTCTCTTCCTTCTCAACCCTCTTGCAATTCTCCTCCTTCTTATGCTAAAATGCTAGCTAAAATTTGATGTGAAAAATTTGATGTGAAAAATTTGATTTTTAATCCTGTAATTTAGAGCTGAAACTTAGAATATTAACAAAATTTTTCTTGTGAAAAAAATGCATTTGTCTAGGATGGGAGAAAGCGGTGTGTGCGTGAATAATTTTATCCTGCCAGCTGACCAGCCAGTGGTGAGGCTAGAAGTAGAAACTGCTTTCAACTGTCTCACACCCAGTGAAAAACTGTACAGTCACTTTCTATCCAAAGCTTGCTGGTAATTTAATGAAAAACATGTTTTCAAAAGTAATTTTTTCCCTTACTGGTTTTATAGCTAAAATGGAAAAATAAGCTATATCTTAAAGGTTGTAAATAATTGGCTTCGGGTATATAACAGTGCTTAGGATTTATTTAATTTCAATGCTGATCTGGATCCGCTCCGAAATGAAATTAATATTTCTTGATTTTTGAACATAGAAGAATTTTGAACAGATTTTTAGCATGTTTAGGTTGACATTTTGCTGCTTCGGTAAAAGGTTTGCGGATCAAGTAAATCAACATTTTTCTGATCCGGATCCTAAGCACTGGAAAGAAAAATTTAACCATAAGGGGGGGGGGCGGGGGGGTGGATTTTTCTCCTGTTGATATCTAACCGTTTTTTAAGTACTTAATTGGAACTATTTATATTGGGGGAAATGTTACGGTTGTAGTTAAAAAAAAATATTCTTGACAAAGTTTGATCTAGGTGGTGGGGGGGGGGCTTTTGCTGAATAATATTAATCTCAATAATGTTCGGGAATAGGTCATAGATAATTTCATAAAAAAAAATTATTTAAACTGGAAAATGGGTGGAAGGGGGGAAAAATTTTCCTGGTGGTCCTATTACGGGGCTATTACCGTAATTTCAAGTTAAACTCCATGTAAAGATGACAATGCCTAATTCACAATGATTCCCTTGAAGCCTTAATCAGATCACGTAGTAGAAGATAGCGTCGGTTTCATAGATTTGAAAGGTGTTATTTCTGACAACTCCTGGCTACATATGTTTTCTTGCAGTAGAAAGTCACTTTTGTGGAAAAAAATCACTTGAAAATAATATGTGTAAAAAATTATAACCTTTATCTATTTACGTAAATCATACTTGATCCGAGTACCGTTGTGAATTGATAATTGCCCTCTGGGTATGTAGGATCTTAAAAATAAACTTACAGTCCCTTTAACCATCTTATTATGTAGGTATGGAGGATTGATAGTTTTATATCAAACTAGTCCTGAGTCCCCAGATATATTCAGGCTTATTCATGCCATCAATACTTCCGAGGTAACAAGACAATATATTCAGGCTTATTCATGCCATCAATACTTCAGAGGTAACAAGATAATATATTCAGGCTTATTCATGCAANTGCCATCAATACTTCAGAGAATAAAAAAGTTCAAATGTTCAACCCTCTCCTTGTTCAGACTGTTGATAGTTTGAGGCAGAAGTGTTCAGCTGCAGGATTATCAGAGGATGATGTTACTGCCTACCTTGTGTATTGTTCAGGTTAGAATCTGGATATTATAACACTTGCTAAAAAAGCTAGTTTTACTTGAGAATATTCTAGTTGTGGATATTTATTCTTGAATTCTACAATCAAGGTTCCTTTGAAACGCTAAAAAACGCTAAAAACGCTAAAATGTCATTTATTTCCAGGTGTAAAGTTTTCTTTCTATGTCTCATAATTTTTGTGTTACAACCACTTGGTAATTGTTTTTCACCAGATTTATATCAAATATTTTTTGATGAAAACGTGAGCTGTGGAATTTAATAAATGATAAAAAAATATCTAATTTTTCGACTTAACAAAGTTTAAATAAAAAGTCGGTACCATAGCTTTAATTTATTTATTTTTAAAAATGCCAATTTTACTTTTAGATTTCTCTAGCTCAAAAAATAGTTATCGATTATCCAAAATTTTAGTTTAAAAAGAGACCTCAGATTTTCAGTTTACTTTTTTTAATTCAAGAAAATCTGTCAATATTTACATAAATTAAGAACAATTTTTTAATAAAATGTGAAAAATTAAAAACTTGAAAACATTATGTATTATGGGATTAGGGATTCTCTTATTTTTATAATGCAATTACTTTCTAAAGATTAAATCTTTTTTAAAGTTAAAATTCACGTTTTATCTGAAATTGATAAATTACCCGAAAAAGAGTTCAAAGACATCAAACGTTTAAAACCGACCAAATCTGGTTTTCTTGTCATGTTATACATGTCCTAATAAACATGGGAATTAAGAAGTCGTCATCATTACGTGTACATGTTTCAAGCTTTCCGAAATATGGTCTTGCCTTCGTTGTATCTTTACAATTGAAAATCAAAGATTTTCTTAGAGTCGTCACTTAATTCCCATGTTTATTGTGAACATTCTGTAAACTGATTGTTGATAAAGTTCAAAAGATTTCACAAAAAATCATCCTTACTATTCATTTTTGCTAAATAATGAGCTTTAAGCTTAGACAAATAAGGAAACCCATTCAGTTCAGAAAATAAAAAGAATAGCTTACATAATAGTAAAAAAAAATAAAAAGCAAACAGATTTGTAATGTATTTCTTTATTTTATCGTGATTTTTTTCATCCGGTTTTATCATCTGCACACTGCACAGTGCAGTCACTTTTCAAATATATTTTTAATCAATGTAAGGTTTTCAGAAATGTACGGATTTTTCTCAAAGTTTTGGCCATCCTGTAACATATTTACACAGGATTCTACGCGGATATGGGAAACTTTGTTTATTGTATATTCATATTCACAGGATTCTACGCGAATATGGGAAACTATGTATATTGTATAATTCATATTTACAGGATTCTACGCGAACATTGGAAACTATGTTTACTGTACAAATCACATTTCCAGGACTCTACGCGGATATGGGAAACTTTATATTGTATATTCATATTTACAGGATTCTTCGCGAATATGGGAAACTATGTTTATTGTATATTCATATTTACAGGATTCTACGCGAATATGGGAAACTATGTATATTGTACAATTCATATTTACAGTATTCTACGCGGACATGGGAAACTATGTTTATTATACAATTCACATTTCAAGGACTCTACGCGGATATGGGAAACTATGTATATTGTATATTCATATTTCCAGGATTCTACGCGAATATGGGAAACTACAAAGGGTTTGGAGATTGTAAGTTTATCCCTGGGTTGGAAAAGGATAAGCTCGAACTCCTGGTTAAATGTTCAACTGCGGCACAATCTAACAAGACTATAGACCAGATCTGGACAAAGGTTAGTTTAGTTTATGCTCTTCGTATATGGCGTGAAACCTGAGACCGTAACATTAGTTTTAAATCTCTTAAGATTCTTAAGCTTAGTCGGAGATCTTCACTTTTTGTGGCTTAAACCTAGCCGCAGAATTTATTTCAGGGGTGTAATGCTTTCATTGGCTGATTTAATAGTTTCTGTGGATATCAACATACAATTCCTGGTTCTGGTGTCTTTTAGTTGCATTTGTTCTTTTTCAAGGGAGGTTTAGAAAAATATCAATTAGTACACTGAAAATCTCTTAAGTTTTGACATGCATAAACATATAACTTGTTTCTTTTTCCATTTTAAAATTTTTTGATTTAGGCTATTATTTCAGTGAGTGTGTGGGGTGGGGGTGAGTGTGTGTGCCGTGTGGGTCCAAAACTGTAAAAAATATAACGTCAAAGATACAAAACTTTGAATAAAAAACTCGAACAATTAAAACGTTGAACTATACAAAATGTAGATAAACAAAACGTCTAATTGACAAAATGGGTACTATATGCCAAATCTTACAAAACGGTGAAATTACCAAACGTAGCAACTTAAAACTCCTAGATGGGTGTATTGTATAATTTCTTTAAAAATCCTAGTTTTTAATGCGTAAAGCGTGAATAACTTTTTTAGGGGTTTTTTCGTTGGGGAAAAAATGAAGTTCTGGGCAAAAAGTATCAAAGAATGAAAACCTCACTTCTAGTGTCCAACCCCCTCCCCCCCTCCGAGCATTATTTTGTTAAGAAAAATAGTATGTTAAACATGTTAAAAACATTTTCCCGTTTTAAGGTGAAGGATCGAATGTACTCATTGACCTGCCAGGAACAGCAGCTGGGTCTAGGAAAGAAGGGTTTAACTAAATATTTCACTAGTAACTGTGATACATCAGATTCAGATCTAGTTAATCAGTATCTTCAGCATAAACATATGGAAGGTAATTAGCTAGATAAAATTAATGGATATTAAATATCATTTATTTGGTTTAGCGTGTAAACTATAAAGCCTGGCCATTTAATTGCTTTTATCAAGATAATAGATAATTGATAACATGAAAAAGCTTATTCGTCTTCTTTAGGCAAAGCATCACTTTTCTAACACTTTTTATCAATTACCATTGCTTATGTTCCGAATACAACGCACTGACCGAAGAATTTAAAGAGTGGCGATTCACAACGGTACCTAAATTAATGATTTTCAAATGTCGATTCTCTGGAAAGTACCTTTCATATTGTTAATAGGGCGTGCCTCTCTTTAGATAGAGGGATACTTGAAATTACAATGACAGTTCCTTGAACAGCGTATTTTAATGATTTAAAAACTTATATTGTAGGATATATAAACCGAGTGTTCAAGACTGAAGTGAATGGTAAGGTGTGCTATGAGATCAGGAATGCCGGTGTAATCAACTCCACCATCTGTGAGGAGGAATACAACGGGGTCATCTTCAAGGTCACCACAGGGGATTACCAGGAGCTCCTTCAGATGGTGAGTGTTTTCTCAACCTGGAGTCATAATATTCACCTTATTTATGAATTCTCATGATCCGGGTCTGAACGAAAATAATTTATTTTATCGAAGACCATTTTCTCCTCTTGAAAAAGATTTTAATATTAAATTTAATAATTAGACTTACATGGTCTTTCTTGTTGAACTTTTTTACATCCGTCTTTTCCTTAGATTATTCATTTAGTAACTAGCTCCGGTTTCCAGTCATAAAATGATATAATAAAGTGCGTAAACTAGGGTTTCCATTCACAAACTGATATAATAAAGTGCGTAAACTAGGGTTTCCATTTATAAACTGATATAAAGTTGCGTAAACTAGGGTTTCCATTCATAAACTGATATATTAAAGTGCGTAAACTAGGGTTTCCAGTCATAAACTGATATATTAAAGTGCGTAAACTATGGTTTCCAGTCACAAACTGATATAAAAAGTGCGTAAACTAGGGTTTCCATTTATAAACTGATATAATAAAGTGCGTAAACTAGGGTTTCCATTCATAAACTGATGCAATAAAGTGCGTAAACTAGGGTATCCAGTCATAAACTGATATATTAAAGTGCGTAAACTAGGGTTTCCATTCATAAACTGATATAATAAAGTGCGTAAACTAGGGTTTCTAGTCATAAACTGAACTTTGTGTGAACTAGGGTTTTCAGTTAAATGGTAAAATCGGTTTGCGAGAAAGAAATGTCGCCGAAAGTCTCGAAATTTTTTCATTCTAGACATTATTTTTGTGCTAAATTTCAGCGAAATTTTGCGCAAGTTTTTTGGAAACCCTAGTTTGAACACAAATATATTATGGGACTTTTTTCAAAAGATATGATTTGGTTTGACATGAATGATAATAAATCAGGAAATGTTAGCTTGATTGTTTTTCTGATCTTTTCAAAATATTTTTTATCCAAGAAAAAAAATAATTGACTGATTATAAACCATTTTTTCTATGGTGTCAAACAAATGTCAAAGTACACTTAGCAATCCCTTGACCATTGATCGAGTAAACAATGCATAAGATACCATCCTTTTTTGTCTTTATCTCCTGTATTTGCTTTGTATTGTTACTTGTCTCTGCTGCGGAGATCCGCAAAATACCTTAATAGATAAACGTAACTGAATTTATCCATTTAAAGGGTACCTTTTAATTTGGACAGGACTACACCTAACTAGGAGGATAACATGAAATTATATCGATTGTCCCTTTAATTTATTTGTAGATTTTGAAATGTATCCGCTATTTCTTAAGCATTTAAACCATATCATTTCCGTGCCACATATTATCTTTTTTCTCTTCCGGCAGCCATGAGCCACAACTATTTCCCCTTCCGTACCACCACATTTGACTCGTCAGGGCAAAACTACATTTTTAAAGTGTGATTTTAAAAAATCCAGCCGCATCACGCAAAAAAGCACAACTCAAACCATTTTTTCAATTCTACTTAAGATTAATATTTTGTGTGTTGAATTCTTATACTGTTTACAATGAAATTTTTGACAAAGTATTGCATCTTAAAATATCACAAAGTCTAATGATTATTCAATTACTGACTCATTATAATAAATACATCTTAAAATCACTCATTAACCAACTTTGTGATATTTTAAGATGCAATACTCCAAATTTGTCAAAAATTTCATTGTAAAACAGCTTTAGAATTAAACACACAATATTAATAGCATTCAAAAAAGTAGTTTTGCCCGAAGGAGTCAAATGTGGTGGTACGGAAGGGGAAATAGTGGTGGCTCATGACCGCCTGCCTTCCCCCGCTCATGTAGTAGTAAAGTAGTAACTTTGTTTGTATGTCCAATCATTATAAATCTTGAAACCTGTGACAGATTTCCCCAACATTTTGATTGGGGAACTCAGTAGAACCAATTATATGATCTAAGCTTAGGAGGTGGGCAGTCTAGAAAGCGAAAGTTTATCTTAAACTTGCAGTAAGCTGGGTTCCCAAGCTAGTCTATTAATTTAAAGTAACTTTTGTTTGTTTTATGTCCAATCATAACTCATGACTTGACTGATTTACCTTACATTTTAATTGGGGAACTCGGTAGAAGTACGGAAATGTTTTTCAGCTTGGTTTTAAAGTTTAAGTTAATTGGTTTGACGTTTACAGAGAAAGTTTATTTTCTAGACAACGTTGGGTTTACAAACTAGTCCTCCATAATCTTCAAACATTGTTCTTTAGGTTTGTGATAATCTGAAAGAAGCTGAAAAGCATGTTAGTAATGAAAATGAAGCTAACATGATCAAAGAATACATAAAGGTTAGTATCTTAGATAAATTAGAATAGATAGCACACACTACACACTATACACTGCACACTGCACACTGCACACTGCACACTATACTTTATACACTATACTGCTCTCTGTATGCTACTCCCTTGACACTGCAAACTTCACACAGCACACTGCTTACTGAACAATTTACTCTAAACACTGCATTCTGCACACTTCACAGTGTTAACTGTATGCTGCACAGTTTACACTGAACACTGTATGTCGCACACTTCATACTGTACACTGTACACTGCACACTGCACACTTTTCACTGAACATTGCACACTGCAAACTGTACACTGAATGCTGCACACTTTACACTGCATAATGTCTTGCACACTTATGCTGCACATTTCACACTGTAAACTGTACAATCTACACTGCACATTGCACACTGCACACTACAAACTGCACACTGCACACTGCAAATTATAATCCACACTTCACATTATAATCCACACTTCACACTGTACACTGCAAACTAGACACTTGACATTGCTGTACACTGTATGCAGCACACTTCACAGCGTGAACTGTACACTGATCACTGCACACGGAACACTGCATACTGCACACTGTACACTAGAGTACAGCAAACTAAGTATGTCAAATGTACACTGTAAACTGTACACTGCACACTGCACATTGCAGACTGCACACTGCTACACTGCAAACAGCACACTGCACACTGTATACGGCTAACTTCAAACTTCAAACTGAGTACGTCAAATGTATTACACTGTACACTACACTACAAACTGCACACTCTGAATTAAGTGCGTACTGACCACTGCAGAGTGCACACTATACATTTCACACTGCACATACTGCAAAATGTGCATTGCACACTGCAAACTGCACATTGCACACTGCAAACTGCACATTGCACACTTCATAATGCACACTGAACACTGCAAAAATTTATACTACTTCTCTGCTGTATATTGCAAACTGTACACCGTACACTTTACTCTTCACATTGTACACTGAACTATTTGAACATTCTAGGCTGCACACTGTGCACTATATAGACAATAGGCATGTGCCATAATAGGTTAATCCAAATGCGTCGATATAGACACAGAAAAGTTTTTCGCTATGCATTTTAGCAAAAAAGTTTAAAGCATAAATTTATTAAAGACTCATAAGGAAGCTGTCCTTGAAATTTCATGTAATTCTGTTGACAGAGGAGCTGGTCGGTATTAATGTGTTAACTCATTGAGATCCTAAATCTTAAATTTTCATGGACATTGTACTCTCATGACCAGATTTTCAAAGACACTTCAGTCTCAAATTCTCGTTGGCAAAAGCCCTGTTTTCACTAGTACCCTTTTTATTACGAGAAATGTTTTCAGAAGGGCTTTTTGGTTTGGACCTTTTTCATCCTAATAAGAGACAGCCATTGTGGAGACTAATGGCGTAGTTACCGGTCTATCCTTTTTCATCCTAATAGAGACAGCCAATGTGGAGACTAATGGCGTAGTTACCGGTCTATCCTTTTTCATCCTAATAGAGACAGCCAATGTGGAGACTAATGGCGTAGTTACCGGTCTATCCTTTTTCATCCTAATAGGGACAGCCAATGTGGAGACTAATGGCGTAGTTACCGGTCTATCCTTTTTCATCCTAATAGGGACTGCCAATGTGGAGACTAATGGCGTAGTTACCGGTCTATCCTTTTTTATCCTAATAGGGACTGCCAATGTGGAGACTAATGGCATAGTTACCGGTCTATCCTTTTTCATCCTAATAGAGACAGCCAATGTGGAGACTAATGACATAGTTATAATGTTATTATTTTTAATTTAAAAATAAGATCAAAAAGGAAAAACTAGGGAGCTAGGGTTTAAATAATGAGTAAGGTTCTTTAAATATTGTGGAAGATTCCAGTACAATAGTTAACAGGTTGAAGTGTTACGTATACCTGTACTTCAGTGTTTTGTGCATATTAGCTAAATTAGGCAGGACCTGTCAGGACTAACTAACTTCTGAATTACTTATCTCTCAATTGAACCTTATCTCTTAGATTTATCCTATCTCTTCTGTATTTATAAAGTGAATTTATTAATCTATTAGATTTGTCTATATCTATTTCTTAGGCTGATATTAGGGATTATATTTACTTATTTTACTTATTTCTTTCTGTCTACCTACAGTTAGTTAATTAGTCTCTTAGATTAGTCGAGTCTCTATGTTTGTAAATCTTATCTTATTGAGTTTGTTTTTTATGTATGATTAATCTAATTTATTAGTAAAGTCAAATCTCAAGTGAATCTTATCACTTTGATTAGTCTATTAGGTGCATGTATTCTCATAGATATGCTTTATATGACCTATGTCCTATATTTGCTCAATCTCTAGGTTGGGTCTAATGTAATGAATTGAATCTCATAATTGGTTTTATTTTTCTAATTTTAATGTTTATTATTTTAGATTTGAAATAATGGACATCGTTTTACTATTTTGCGCATTTTTCGTTTCTTGGCTTTTTCTTGCTTAGATTAATATTTTTGAGAGAGAAGCTTCCAAACATTTGCAAACTGCCATCTTATCCATTAAGTTTTCCTGGAAAGGTGGATTTAATCTGCTCCTTTTCTGCACAGCGTATCACAATATTGATATAAAAATATAAAATATATAATTTTAAATTTGTGAATGGTTGTATAATCGATCAACCTTTTGTATTAATTATCATTTGTTATTATTATTATTAGCAGACAACCCTGCATTCGATGTAATAAGGGTTGACACTCCTCGCCACCGAAAAAGACACATAGATGTTGAATTTGATGAGGAAAATAATCCTTGGATCAAACTTAAATCAATCTAATATTTGTATATTTTAGCTAAAGCTGACCAAATAGCTGGACCGAATGGGCTGACATTTTTTGAGGGAACCCATGGGTGCCCTGGGAGTAACAAAGGCTTTAAAAATTTCATTTTTTTCCTAAAATGAATTTTTTTTTAAATTCGAATTTTTATTTAAATTAAATTTTTTTTCTCAAAATTCGATGTTAAATAATTCCACAGGCAACGCCGGGACCTTCAGCTAGTAACTATATAAAAAATCAAAATTGCTAATCTGTGTTTAGAGTTTCAGCCTGGGTAGTCTGGATGCTCACAAGAACGGATCAAGGTTCTGGATAAAAAACAAGGAACTTTTTTCTCAGTGTTCAAAAAAGTTTATCAAGGTTTAACATGGTATTCTAAATCTTATTTTCGGTTTCCAAATTATTTATGTGGATTAAAAACAGGAATATATTTCTCAACGGAAATAAAATGCATCTAAGGATTATAAATCTTATTTTGTTGTTGTCATATTCAGACTGTCTAGGAGCTTTTTTTACAGGGATGTATATTTTCTCTAAAAATCTTTCTCTTGGTAGTTTTGAAAGGTTTTATCAGCTCGTCCAAGAAAAAGAACTGATTTATTAAGAAAGTATACACTATACACCTTTGCATTTAAATAAATATATGATTGGAAGAATATTGCGTGAGACATCTAGCGGCCAAATAATCGTCCCCCTTAGGACGGCTCAGCTACATTTTGCCTAGTTCGGTTGTGTCTAGTCACATTTTGCCTAGTCACATTTTGACAGTTTGCTTAGGCAATTGCATGCCTAGGTAACATGTTTCCTAGGGTAACAGAAGAGCGAATTTTTACCTAATCATTTTTTCATTAAGAAAATTTTCAAAAATCCGCGAATTTATCACTAAAGCTATGCAACTTTTTGAAAATCAATCAGTTTCCTACCATACCATATCGTGCTGAAAGATGATTATATCCCTTACTCCATGTTGTTAACTGTATTTATAAAATTTTTTGACATGTTTTTTCTTTTTTAGAGTAAATACACACTAATTTTGTCGTAGCGGAGAATCAAAACTCTTCATCATTTTACAGTTTTAAGTCATGGTATTTGGAATGTTTAATACAATTCAATATTTAATTCATTTAAATTTAATTGGTTCAGCTATAAAAAAATGTTGAATTTTTTAGAAAATCTGCTTTTAAAAAGCAATAGGCAAAAAACATGCTCTTGCGTTACCTAGGCAAAACGTGACTAGGCAATAAGTTACAAATGCAAAATGTTATCTAGGCAAAATGTGGCTGAGCCTTTAGGACTGACCTTATTCTGACAAGAAACATACTTATGGGTTCATTTACACTCAGTTTAAATATAAGAATTCTTTCACTAAAATATTTCAGTCCATTCTTATTGTCTTAAGATACAAACGTGTCACTCATCTGGGAATTGTTTTAATTAATCCAAACATGAAATTCAGAATCTTGATGCTGAGAATAATCGCTAATATTCAGGGACCTATTGTAGAAACCTATATAGGATTTATTGAAACCTACCGTGACCCTGCTGGTATGCGCGGAGAGTTTGAAGGTTTCGTCTCCATGGTCAACAAGAAGGTGTCGGAGAAGTTCCAGGTTCTTGTTGACAAGGCGGAGGAACTCCTGCCTAAGCTGCCCTGGCCGGCGGAGTTTGAGAAGGATTCATTTCTCCGCCCCGACTTTACCTCCCTGGATGTCCTGACATTTTCCGGATCCGGAGTTCCAGCCGGGATTAATATTCCCAACTATGACGAGATCAGACAATCGGAAGGATTTAAGAACGTCTCTCTGGGAAATGTGATCAGTTCGTCTTACAAAGTTACCACGAAGAACACCTTCGTCTCCGACCAGGACGATTTACTCCTCAAGAAGTTCAAGGTTCCCTCCTTCGAAATACAGGTGAGGTTTACCAGATCCGGGTCAAAATTAAATGGAGTTCAATTTACAGTAACTTAATTAAGGAATTGGTGAGGTAACTTCAAGTGTGCCTTCGTTGATAAATTTGCATGTACTATTCACAACGGAATCCTTGAAACTTTCGTCTGGTCAAAAATAAATGAGAAATCTCTTCTTTAATACCTGAATATTTATTATTTTTTAAATGTTGTTTCTGTTTTAAAGTCAGTTGTGAATTAATGCAATTTCTTTTTAAAAAAATTTCGCGTATTTTTATGCTGACATTAATTTACCATTCACTATTCAGAGAGTAGTAAGTTATTCAACAGGTTTTGCTAAATATTTTGCCCTTTAGATCCGGATCCCTGGGTCTGCTTTTTCTGGTGGATCCGGAACTAAATTCTGCTAATAAAAATGATAAAATCCGCTCCCATATAAGTCAAGTGAATGGTGTTCCAAGGAACTATATTTCGTTGTTATCAAATTCAACCATCTAGGTTGGACTCCATGAGCTACTGGGACACGGAAGTGGAAAGATGTTGTATAAGACTCCTACTGGATTAAACTATCCGGAGGATCTGAAGAATCCTCTGACAGGAGAGCTCATCAGCTCAGCTTACGGACCTGGAGAAACTTACGACAGCAAGTTCACGGACTTCGGTAAGCAACTTTTACTTTCTAATCAGATTTAGTTAAAGGGATTGAAAGAGGAATTTCAAGCAACCTTTCATGCTAAAATTGGAACTTCCTGATTTATAGCGATACCCTGAAAAGCTTTGTCTACCCAAGTTTGAATTTGATATTAATGTTTTTCATTTTGAAAACAAATGATTTTCAATTTTGCAATAGCATATTGGTAAAGTTTTCAATGGTACCGTTGTAAATCTTGCATTGCTATTTTTTAATGAAGAGTCATTTTTTAATGAAGAGAAATTACGCTTACAGCTTCTTTAAAGCCAGTATGGCAACTTTATCTTTTCCTAATCTGGGCTTTGTTCAAATTTTTAATATTAATAAATGTGAAGATTTGAGGATTTGTAAGAGCTGTGACGTATCTCTTAATTTGTACTTGATATATGTTCATGTTCATACTAATGGGCAATGGCAGTGTTACCAAGGATAAACCCCTTAGCAACTTTCCCATCAAAATCAGACTATGAGGCACATCACACCACCGCACTCCGTCCTTTTAATAGCAAATAGATTTCTTGTTCGACTTGGAACAGTTTCAAGATTTTTTTTTAAAAAATGTCACTACAATTCATTAATATCGAAATTGCGCCGGTAAAAAGTAAGAAAGAGGACCCCTCAGCTTAAGGGTTTGAAACATGTGCCTGCATAGAAAATGTTCATAATTTTGGTGTAAAATCGAGTAATTTTATCTTGAATTTTGTCATGTAGGAAATTTTCTAATTTGTCAACAACACTAGGTTTAATTTAAGCTTGAACTGATTTTTACGAGGGGGGGGTGCAGAAGTCCTCAATTAGTAATCACTAATTACAGTCACCCTAATGTTAAATGTGTTTTGCGGCAAGCGCATTGGGCGTTCCTCAGTTGGTATTCAGAAATTAAAAATGTTAAAATTAAATTTTTTGTGATAACAAATTTTCTACAGGCTGCGTTTGGCCTTATAAATTGAGATTGAAAGCTGATATTTTGTATGCAGCCTCCAATTTGTTTCTTTAAAAGTTGGGCCTGATCAGTTCAGACGTTTTGACGTTTATTGGACACAAACAGACAGACAAGCAAAGTATATATATAGATATATCTATAATTATCTATAAATCTATCTGGTGTTCAGGTTCTAGCTATGAGGAGTGCAGAGCAGAATGTGCAGGTCTCCACCTCTGCCTAGTACCAGGAGTTTCAGAGATATTTGGGTTCAGTGGAGCTGAAGCAGATGATATTAATTATGTAAACTGGTTGAGTATGGTTCACGCTGGGATTAAAGGATTAGAGATGTTCAGTCCTGCCAGTATGGAGTGGAAACAGGCTCACAGTCAGGCTAGGTATGTATAGTACACTGTACTGTATAAAGTGGAAACAGACTCACAGTCAGGCTAGGTATGTTTAGTACACTGTACTGTATGAAGTGGAAACAGACACACAGTCAGGCTAGGTATGTTTAGTACACTGTACTGTATGGAGTGGAAACAGACGCACAGTCAGGCTAGGTATGTTTAGTACACTGCACTGTATGGAGTGGAAACAGACTCACAGTCAGGCTAGGAATGTTTAGTACATTGTACTGTATGAAGTGGAAACAGACTCACAGTCAGGCTAGGTATGTTTAGTACACTGTTCTGAATGAAGTGGAAACAGACTCACAGTCAGGCTAGGTATGTTTAGTACACTGTACTGTATGAAGTGGAAACAGACACACAGTCAGGCTAGGTATGTTTAGTACACTGTACTGTATGGAGTGGAAACAGACGCACAGTCAGGCTAGGTATGTTTAGAACACTGTACTGAATGGAGTGGAAACAGACAAACAGTTAGGCTAGATATAGTTCAGGTATTGTATTGAGTGAAAACGGGCACACGTCAGGCTAGGTATGTACACTGTACAGTATGGAATGAAAACAGGCTCATAGTCAGCCTTGGAATGTACATTGTATAATTATTATTATAGACCCCATGTTTGAATTTTACAAGTAATAACCAGTGCTTGGGATCCATTTAATTTTGATGCGGATCCGGATCCGCGCTGGAAATAAATGGATCCGGATCCAGGTAATTTCTTAAAGATTTACTAAATTTTTTAACTAAAAAATAATTTTAAAATTGTTTGTTTATTTTATTCGCTTATTTTTATCCTAAACCCATTCACAAGTGAGGAAATTTATAATCTCCCTTTTTTCATAAGTTCAGATTTGGGTTTTAGAAGTAATTTTTTTTACAGTTTTTGGTCGATATTTTACCCCTTGGATCCGGATCCTAAGCACTGGTAACAACTAAACAGCCTTAAAGAAACTATTTAATTGAATAATTTCTCCCTAATAAAATTGAACTGTAGAACAGAAAGATATTTCGAAGCTTGTTTGTACCTGAGCCTAATATTGAAATAAATATCTAGGTTTGTGATAACTCAAGTGATGCTGGCAGCTGGAGAGGATTTCCTCCGTGTTGAGAAGACTACTGGAGAAGACGGAAACCCTGATCTTCTCATCACTATGGATAGATCCAAGATAGCAACGGTTGGAGCTCCAGCAATATCCAAGTTCCTGGTTGAGCTCCAGGTGTATAAATCTACCGGAGATGTGAAGGGTGCCAGGAAGATGTATGAAGGATACAGCGTGGTATCTGGAGAAGGTGAGAAACCCTGGTTGCTCTGGAGGGATATTGTTATTTCAAGGAAGAAACCCAGGACTATTCTTGTGCAGGTGAGTTTACACAAAGGGAGTTGATATTAAGTTAGCTAGGTTTGTTCAAAAGTAAGTTAGTTTGAAAATTTACCCCCCCCCCTTTCCTCTTTTTTGTTTGCGTGGGATAGGTTTTTTTTTTATTTTCTTGTAAAATGTGTGAGGTTCGTTATGGAAAGGAGTTTTAAAATGTTTTCTTAAATACACAATACTCATTCTTTTAATATTGTGAAGTAGTCACTAAATGTACACTAAATAGGTCGGAGAAACTTCAAACTAACACTAAAAGCCAGAATCATTTGTTCCCAAAACTTTATTGGCAATTCGTCGTAAATAATTTAACAAATAGGGTCATTCCATAACAAGTATATTGTTTGGTCAAAAAGTTGCATTTGCAAAAAAACATTTTCTCAAATTTTTTTTTCAAAATTTTGCTTCCCTTCGGTCCTTAAATTATGTTATGTCAAACATTAAGCAGTGTGCAAAATTTCAGCCAAATCTGACATGGTCACTTTCATAATTGCCAGCAAATTGTCCTTAATAAATCGATCTTCTATAATCTAATTATAAACTAAATCCTTGACAATTCATCCCAGGGTAACACGGTTCTTGAGAATGAAACAATGAACCTGGTTCAGTATGATCCTACCCCTGCTGGTATGCTGCAAAGCTGGAGGGAAAGGTAACATTTTGTTTTAATCAAATCAAATGATTCGGAAGAAGAAATTAATAATAAATTTTTTAATGTATTTTTAAATTTTTTATTTTATTCAGGTTTCCAGAAACTGCTAAGTTGGATAGTGTTCTGGCCAGTATTGGAGCACGCGAAGAGAAGTATTGGCCCTGTTAATATTTCTGCCTAAGTCCCAATCAGCTCTCATGGAACTATCCACCCATTGTAAATTCATATAGCTTCTATCAACCCACTCCACATTTTCTTCAACAGAAAATGTCCAAGATACAAGTAATCAGTGAAATCTGCCGTTTTTTATGTTTCTATTCTAGTATTTATCCTGGTGATTTTTTTTCAATAAGAACGAAATAAAATTGTATACAAAGTTATTTCTATGAACATGACAATGTTAGGATAAAAAAATTAGAAATGTTTGAGTCTGTTTCATTAAACATGTGAAATGAGTGAAGTCTAAAAGAGTACCGAAGACACTTCTTGGAACTTCTTATCCGCTTGTTTTATGATACAGTTAGTTTCTTTATAATGGAAAATTGCTGACTTGAACTACATTGGAAGATATACGATAATCCATTACATGCGTTTCCACTTATTTTCTACTCAGAACATTACCTTATATTTACTCCTTCTACCCTTTTATAGTTTTAAGGATAAAAAAGGCTTAAGAGTAAAGAACAAGTAATGGTTTA